CTGGGAGGTGCAGTTGTTTATTGCGAACCGAGCGTAGGTGTTCTGCTATAAAGTCCAGTGTTAGGAGTATTAAACGAGTCAATAACTTGGCCTTGAATAGTGTTAAGCTTCTTGAGTATTGTTCTGTATGCACTTATCTGTGTGGGTGGTGAGTATTTCATCTATGGTTGCAATGCAACTGACAAAGATGCGCAACATCCTTACTTGATCAAACAAATACTGAATTGCTGACTTGAAGGCCTGCTTTTTTTAAACCTAACATTGCTCCACATTGTGGGAGCATCATCACAATAAAACACTACCAGGAATTTAAGAAGGTAGCCTGCCACCACCTTCACAGGATAATGAAAAATAGGCAATAAATGCAGCCTTTATAATGCCAACTAAAGTACAAGAACCGATGCAAAAGGCCCGAAACGTCAGCCTCTCTGCTCCTATGATGCTGCTTGGCCTGCTGTGTTCATCCAGCCCTGCACCTTGTTGTCTCGGATTCTCCAGCATCTGCAGTTCCTACTATCTCTGTATACTATATAGTTATCTTTAATATACAAGTGGCCCATCTCATCTATCAACAGCTGAAAATGTCAGTGAAGCAGTAAATTGGAGCTCCATGTAGGAATTCTTGTAGTGATGATTCTAATGCTTGAAGCATTTGTTTATTTACCTAACTAGCAAGATGGCAAGCTTGAAGTATGAAGTATGTGAACTGACTATTTAAAACAAAATAGATGAAAGATATGATATTGGCATTGAGCTGTGAAATATCAGGTTTTGAATCTTGGAACAGGTTGTAACCTTTTATAAGTTGGTCACAGAAGCAGTTAAAAGGTGGCCATGAGACAAAGGGTGACAAAGTAGTAACCACACTAATTGTAGTTTTTGTTGCAATCGTCATTGTTATTCAAGTTGGATCAAAGATTAGAGAAGAACAAAGAATGACAAATTGTGGTCACATTATTCAAAGTGTTTATCCCCTATTATTCTGGTACTTCTGTAGTTGGTACTCTTTTATAACACATTTAGATGTAAGTCATTAACTTTCCTTAATTAGAAATGATACTGCAGTCTTCAATAAAAATATTGTCTCTTCCAAAATTCTTGAACTGGTCTAAATGTTGGAAAAGATGTAAAATTTCTAATCACCGTATAATTGTTTTAGTTAAAATACTTCTTTCAGCAAGTCCAAAAACAGCAAAGGCCTTGAATTTTCAACTAGAAGGATAAGGCAGCAGATATAAATGTCTACAAGTGCAAGTCAGGAATGTGATCTGGGTTGTCTGGGTGGGTGCACTCCAGCAACACCCAAGAAGCTTGACACCACCCAGGACAAAGCAGCCACCTTGACTGGCATCCCATCTAACACTTTCAAGGTAGTGGACTGCCTTGTTGAACCACAGCAAGCCATTTAGTGTAGATAGACAATTATGGAGGGAGTTCCAGCAACTTTGACCCAGTGACATTGAGGAAAGTATATTTCTAGGTTCAGAGGATCAATGGCTTGGATGGAATTTTGCAGGTAGTACTGTTCCCTTGCCTTCTGGATGGTCGGGGGTTTGAAAGATGTAGTGAAAGTTTCTGAAATGTATCATGTAGGTCATCCATGCTGCTGCTACTGTGCAGCAGTGGCGCAAGAGGTGAATGTTTATGGGTGTGATGCCAATCAAGGGAGCTGCTTTGTCCTGATTAATGACAAGCTGCATTCATATAGGCAAACAGGAAGTATTCCATAATACATTCTTGAACCAAGCAAATGCTTCTTGCTAATACTGTTTATGATCCCTTTCAGCACTTTAGACTAGACTGATGGGGCAGTAATTAGCCAGTTTGGATTTGTTCTGCTATGTATGTTCAGGACCTACCTGGACAATTTCACACCTTTTATGTTAGATGCTAGGGTGGTATCTATTTTGGAACCGGTTGATTAGGGGTAAGTCAAGTTCTGGAGCACAAGTCTTCTGTACTATTGCTGAAATGTTGTCAGAGCCCATTGCCTTTGCATTATCCAGTGCCATGAGCTATTTCTTGATATCATGTGGAATGAATTGAATTAGCTGAAGACTGTCATCTGTGATATTGGGTCTCTGGAGGAGGCTGCTATTTATTGTAGTTTGGGTATGTTATGTTGGGACAGTGTCCTTTTAAGAGGTGAGTCACATGAGCACTGGTCAGTGTGACTGGTGAATCATCAGCCAGGTTTGTGGGCTTGGTCAGACATATTTTAGGTTCTTTCAGAGAGCAACTGTTTCGGAATAAAGTTTCCCTGTTGGTTTGCAGCAGACAAATTTGTATGTTCTTTAGTTCTGACTGGAGTCTAGTAACTCTCCAGTGTAGAACACAGGCCAAGGAGGGTTATTTACTTCTGGCTGAAATTGTTCATAAATTGTTCAGCCCTATCTTTTGCACTGACCTCCCCAGTCTTTGATGATTGGGATCTCTATGGAGCCTCCTCCAGTTTAATTGTCTAGCATCCTTTAAGACTGTATGTGGCAGGACTGCAGGGCTTAGATCTGATTTGTTGGTTGTAGAATTGCTTTGCCTTACCAATCACTTGCTGTTTATGCTGTTTGACATGCAAATAATTCTGTTTTGTAGCTTTACTAAGTGGACACCTCATTGTTAGATACGTCTGGTGTTGGTCCAAGCATGTCTTCCTTCAGTCTTCCTTGAACGATGCCTCTTGGTAATGGTAAAGTGGGAGATACTGTAGGCCATGAGGTTTATGTTAGAGTACAATTTTGCTGCTGATGATGGCACACAGATGCCCGGACTTGAATTAGTGGCTCTGTTCAAAATCCCATTTTGCGCAATGGTAATGCCATACAATACAATAGAAGGCATTCTCGACATGAAAATGGGACTTCATCTCCACTAGGACTATGCAGCAGTCACTCCTTCTGATGCTGTCATTGACAAATGTATTTGTGAAAAGCAGAGATGTTCTGTACTCCAGAAATGCTGTGGATTTTGTGACTTACATGGGCTACTGATCCTGGGCCAAGCTGTCTGCTCGATTTTCTAAGTTGTGCTCTTCTGCCTTATCAACAAGGGTAAGAAGTATTCCCAAGCAGAATGCCATTCCTACTAAAAAGTCATTTTGTGTATGTGGGAGGTCAGTGGATTTAGGAAGTTGAAAAATACAGAAGTTAGGAGCAATTGTTACACCTTGGCAAAGTACACATAAAAGGCATAGCAATCAAGTCTGAAAAAAAAGGAGAATTAGGGAACATTTGCTCTATATGGGTAAAGCTTTTACAGAATGCAGTTGTGGCATAAAAGCAAGAGATTACCAAGTACAGCAAGACTAAGTGATTGGTGCTTCTATACAAATGAGCTGCTAAGGACTCAGGCAATGAAACCAAGTGTCATTTGGAGGACAAGTAGCTGGATTTTGCTAAGGTTTGTCCCAGGCAGCTCTGTCATGTGCTTGACGGGCTGTTCCCTGGGATGCACACTGAAACAAACATTGACTGCAGCAGGAAGACCATCACCTCAGTGAAGCATGTTTTTTGGTCTGCCCAAAACCTGCAGTCTTCCTGTATAAAGAGTTGATCTTGACCGAGTGTTGTAAACTGGCACATTCCAAGGTCCAAGACTGGGCTGAAGGACTCACTGAACTTTGGTGGAGTATACTGAGATCCATTCGGTTGTCAGCCTCCATCGTTGTCTCAAAGTGTAAATATTTCCTTCCTGCATGAGTTAGAAATGCTGTTGTTATTTGCATCTCCATGTTAGCTCTGTAGGAAGTAAAATTCCAATGTGTTATTGCATTTCTTTTTCCTTGCCGGAATGATTCTGTACTGCAAAGTGAGAACCTTTCTGCATGTACCTATAAATTTTTAACGAATGAAGTATATTTTTGCAATAAAAAGATTAACAGTGTACAAGTGTTGTAATATGATAAAGCAGAGCTCGTGTGATTACTTTTTAGATCATGAACAATACGGAGTAATTATTTTGATCACCAAAATGGCCAATAATATACACTGATGGGGCTGGTGTTGTCAACTGGTTGCAACATGTTTCAGGACACGTTCACTCAAGTGCTGCTCACCTCATTCCATGCACAGTGAAATCTTTTCATGCTGCCATATTTTGTGAGAGTCTGTGATGTGCAGAATTAATCCATCATTCTTCCAGTATTGGAGAGTGATATTTAAACAATTGGTCACTCCTTCACGGACAACACCAGGCACCAGAAATGATAAGATATAAAATTAATCCCAGAATGACGCATCGAAGAATGCAGTGTTGAAACATAAAAACATACCCAATCTGACATTGATAAATACAGTGAGAATAGAAAAATTATTTTCAAGGGAATGATGCAAGGGTAACAAATCCAGCATTTTCTGAAGAAGGGTCTAGGCCCGAAACGTCAGCCTTCCTGCTCCTCTGATGCTGCTTGGCCTGCTGTGTTCATCCAGCTCTACACCTTGTTATCCCAGCATGGAGTTGGTCACAATATTTCTGTTGGGGCTGAAACACTATTCAATCTGAATTCCAAACTATTTCGCTCAATGCTGCTATTTAACAGTTGTCTGTAATTGTCCTGGCTGTCTGAGATTTGTATACGTCCTGCAGTGCCATCGTTGAGACTGACTGCTGCTTTTTGTTGGTTCTGATTGATACTGATTTGCTCTTTGCTCTGCCCAGAGGTAGGATTTGAACTTTTCACAGCCTGAACAGTATAATAATGATGCCCAATTTATATACCATGTAAGCTAAAAGGAAGGAAAATGTACAGGAGTTAAATTTTTCTTTTGATGTGCATTGTAAACTTATATTGTCCATTCTATGCACAGGAGGACTGTTTTATTGACAATAACATACACTTTCAACTTGACCAGTCAGCGGCCAGTTAAATAAAAAAATAGAACTGCAGATGCTGGAAATCAGAAACAGAAACAGAAAATGCTGGAAAACCTCTGCAGATCTGGCAGCATCTGTGGAGAGAGAAGGGTCACTGGATCTATAACATCAACTTTGCTTTCTGTCCACAGAAGCTTCCAGATAATCTCTGCTCCTATGATGCTGCTTGGCCTGCTGTGTTCATCCAGCCCTGCACCTTGTTGTCTCGGATTCTCCAGCATCTGCAGTTCCTACTATCTCAGCTTCCAGATAATGTTTGGCAACCTGCAATATGTTTCACCAATCTTTCACTCCATTGATATGGGAAACCAGACATGACATCAAACAGGTAAATGCTTGGCAACCACTACTTTATTGTCCACTTTGAAAGCAAAAATTATGAGTCATGAAATTATATGTTATACATTGGTGTGTCATCATTCTCTGTCTTGGAACAGCACCTTACAATGTATACTGATATGATAGGTGTGTTTATAAGATTTTGAAAGCATATGTATGGTTCTATGTTAGAGAAATCTTTGTCCTAAGCTGTGGTTGATTGCAGGTGTAAGAAGAAGACTAAAACAATGAGGCAAACACCAAAAAAAAGTATTTCTGTCTAATTTGGGGAGCTTCAATACAGTTAACTTAAGTTGAATCTAGCTTGCATAATTGTCCGTTGAGTTATGCTGTTAAAGCTAAAACATAAACCATTATTTTGAAGAGCACTTAAGTCAGTGGCTGAATCTTCATCCCCTTCGCATATTATACTTTTGAGATAACAGAAAGCTGAAAGTTCAGAGTTACTGAAAGTATTTTTCATGCGGTATTCATTGGTCACTGCCAGCTGTATTGGGATCATATTTCCCAAACTTCGGAATGTTGAACAGATAGAACACAGATTAACATTGATGGTTTCCTGAAGAAATTGCAGCAGTGGAGCTGAGAGGGAGTGAGCCGGAGGGCACCCTGGGAAGGTAAAGGAGCGAACTGGACTAGATTAATTTAGGATATGTGGTTGGTGTGGATGAATTGGACCGAAGGGTCTGTTTCCGTGCTGTACAGCTTTATGACTCTATGATTAACCCAACTGAAAAAGCAATGTCACAGGAGAGCTGTGATCTAATTGGCTGTTAGAAAATCTGCCTGAGATTTAGAACAAAGACACTCCATAACTACATAAAGTAACTTAAATCAGAGATTAACTAACTGATAAAGGTTTTGGGAGACTTCGGTGAGAGGAGGCTGTGGTGAGGATCAGGTAAGATATTTTTTCGATTTCCATTGTTCCTACCTATTACAGCAGTGGGGATGGAGGCTTGAGCGGTTGTATGCTCCTCTTGCAGGATGTGGGAGGTCAGGGCCACTACCAGTGTCCCTGCTGACTTCACCTGTGAGATGTACGCCCAGCTTCAGCTCCTCACAGACCGCGTTAGGGAACTGGAGCTGGATGAACTCCACATCATTCGAGAGGCTGAGGGGTTGATAGAGAGGAGTTACAGGGAGGTTGTCACACCTAGGATACAGGATGAAGGTAGCTGGGTGACTGTCAGGAGAGGGAAAGGGAATAGGCAGACAGTGCAGGGATCCCCTGTGGCCGTTCCCCTCAATAATAAGTATACCGCTTTGGATTCTTTTGGGGAGGACAACCTACCAGGGAAAGCCACAGCAGCCAAGTCTTCGGCACTGAGTCTGGCTTTGTGGCTCAGAAGGGAAGGGGGAGAAGAGGAGAGCGATAGTGATAGGAGAATCATTGGTTAGGGGAACAAACAGGAGATTCTATGGACGAGAATGAAACTCCCAGATGGTGTGTTGCCTCCTGGGTGCCAGGGTCAGGGATGTCTCTGATCGAGTCTATGGCATTCTTAAGAGGGAGGGTGAGCAGCCAGAGTCGTGGTACACATCAGTACCAATGACATAGCTAGGAAAAAGGATGACGTCCTGAAAAGTGAATATAGGTAGCTAGGAAGGAAGCTAAAAAGCAGGACCTCAAGGGTAGTAATCTCTGGATTGCTACCTGTATCACACGCTAATGAGGGCGAGAATAGGAAGATATGGCAGATGAATGCATGGCTGGAGAGTTGGTGCAGGGGGCAGGAGTTCAGACTTGTGGACGATTGGGTTCACCTGGACTCGAGAGGGACCAATATCCTTGCAGACAGGTTTGCTAGAGCTGTTGGGGAGGCTTTAAACTAGGTTGGTAGGGGTATGGGAACCAGTGCATTAGGTCAGAGGATGGAGCAGTTGGTGTAAAGGTTGATGCAATGAGCAGGGAGATTGTGAGGAAGGACAGACTAAAATGGCAGGAGGATGGGAGTCCGTGCAGAAATGCAGAAGGAAGCAATGCAGAGACCAGAGCAAAAGCTGGAAAAGAGTAAAGTAAAATTGGAGAACAGAATCAAATGCAAAAGACAAGAAGATTACTAGATTCTAAAGGGACAATGAGTGTAAGGGCACCTTATTTGAATGCCCATAGTATTTGAAACAAAGTCGATGAACTTGTGCAAATCAGTACGAAGGGTTATGATTTGGTTGCTGTCACGGAAACGTGGTTGCAAGATGGTGATGACTGGGAACTAAATATCCAAGGGTTTCGGGTAATTTGGAAGAATAGGCAGGAAGGTAAGGGAGGTGGGGCTGCTCTCTTAATTAAGAATGAGATCAGGGCAATAGTGAGAGATGATATAGGATCTAAGGAGCAAAACGTTGAATCCATCTGTGTGGAGATTAGGGATAGTAAGGGGAAGAAGTCACTGGTGGGAGTAGTCTATAGGCCGCCCAGTAGTAATGCTACAGTCGCACAGGCGATAAATTAAGAAATATCTGATGCATGTAAGAATGGAACGGCAGTAGTCATGGGGCACTTTAACTTGCACATTGATTGGACGAGTCAAGTCAGTAGAGGCAACCGCGAAGAGGAGTTCATAGAACACATCCGTGATAACTTTCTTGAACAGCATGTTACCAAACCTACAAGGGAACGTGCAATCTTAGATCTGCTCCTGTGTAATGAGACAGGTAAAATAAATGGTCTCGTAGTAATGGATCCTCTCGGGAAGAGTGATCACAGTATAATCGAATTTCGGATTCAAATGGAGGGTGAAATAATACCATCTAAAACCAGGGATTTATGCTTAAACAAGGAAGACTACAATGGGATGAGGAAGGAGTTGGCTAAGCTAGACTGGGGACACAAGTTTGTATGGTGGAACAGTTGAGGAACAATGGAAGATTTTTAAAGAGATTTTTCACAGTGCTCAGAAAAAGTATATTCCAGTCAAAAACAAGGATGGCAAGGGTAGGAAGAGCCAGCCTTGGGTAACTAAAGAAATAAAGGAAGGCATCCAATTAAAAGCTCAGGCTTACAAAGTCACCAAGAGTAGTGGGAAACAGGAAGATTGGCAAACTTTTAAAAGCAACAAAGAACCATGAGGCAAGCAAAAAAGAAAGGAAAGATAGATTATGAATGCAAACTAGCGCAGAATATAAAAACAGATAGGAAAAGTTTTTTATAAATATATAAAACGGAAAAGGGTCGCTAAAGTGGACGTAGCTCCCTTGGAGGATGAGAAGGGGGAATTAATATTGAGTAATACTGAAATGGCCGAGGCCTTGAATGACTATTTTGTGTGAGTCTTCACACTGGAAGATGTGCCTCACATGCCAAAGAATGATGTTAAGGATACAATGGGAGGTGAGGACCTCAATTTAATTGTTATCAATAAAAGGGTAGTGCTGAGTAAACTAGAAGGTCTAAAGGTAGATAAGATCCCTGGTCCTGATGGAATGCATCCCAGGGTGCTGAAAGAAATGGCGGAAGTTATAGTAAATGCGTTAGTGGTAATTTACCAAAATTTGCTGGACTCTGGGCAGATCCCAGCAGACTGGAAGACAGTGAATGTCACGCCGCTGTTTAAAAAAGGATGTAGGCAAAAGGCAGGTAACTGCAGGTCAGTTAACTTAACGTCTGTAGTCGGTAAAATGCTTGAGGCTGTCATTAAGGAAGAAATAGCGAGACATCTGGATGGAAAGGGTTCCATCAGGCAGACACAGCATGGATTCAGGAAGGGAAGGTCATGTTTGACAAACTTACTAGAGTTCTTTGAGGATATGACAATCGCGGTGGATAGAGGGTAACAGGTGGATGTTGTGTACTTGGATTTCCAGAAGGCATTTGATAAGGTACCGCATAAAAGACTCATCCATATGATGGATGCATGGAGTTGCAGGGAATGTATTAGCATGGATAGAGGACTGGTCAAACAATAGAAGGCAGACAGTTGGGATAAATGTTTCTCTGGTTGGAGATCAGTGTTGAATGTAGTGCCGCAGGGGTCGGTGTTGGGTCTGCAACTGTTCATGATATTTATAAATGATATGGAAGAGGACACCAAGTGTAATGTATCTAAGTTTGCTGATGAAACTAAATTGAGTGGGAAGGCAAATAGTGCAGAAGATGTGGAGAGTCTACAGAGATATTTAGATAGGTTAAGTGATTGGGCAAGGGTCTGGCAGATGGACTACAATGTTGGTAAATGTGAAGTCATCAACTTTGGAAGCAAAAATAGTAGGTCAGATTATTATTTAAACGGCAAAAGATTGCAGCATCCGAGACAACAAGGTGCAGGGCTGGATGAACACAGCAGGCCAAGCAGCATCATAGGAGCAGAAAGGCTGACGTTTCGGGCCGAGACCCTTCATCAGAAAAGGGTGAGGGGAAGGGGGTTCTGAAATAAATAGGGAGAGAGTGGGAGGCGGAAAGAAGAGGGATAGAGGAGAGGATAGGTGGAGAGGAAACAAACAGGTCGAAGAGGCGGGGATGGAGCCAG